ACATATTAATATAAGCTATACACCCAGGTATTCCAAAACAATAGAGATGCTTACGAAATCCTTCAAAAAAACTGGTGTAAGATCTGTGAAAGTGATATATTAAGGTTTATTTCTCCCCAATCTGGTAACTAATAAAATGAGTAAATTGAAAACTACCTTTGTTACTAAATTGAGCGAGCGGTCGTATTTTTCATGAATTTTGTAATCGCCATTTCATTTCATGCTAAACAACAATATAATCATTAGTTTTGTAACCTGGAGGAAGCTGTAATTAAATTGTATTAGTAACAGATATTAATTCTAAAATGCCTCTATTAAGGTTACGGTATATAATATAAAATATATTAAACCAAATAAAATGTTATGTACGCAACGTCACCTCACACGCGGTTAAAATTTCTGGTGTCAATTAATTTCTTAAAAAAAACAAGACATTGAAGTTTTCATTCATGCAATTTCCTTTCACGATACATTCGACATTTTTATTAAAATTTCCTCAAGCTGCGAGTGCTTAAATTTGAAAGCTAAAAGCTTTTCGAATTTCCAGGATGTTTCCGCGGAAGCCAATGGAAAAGGAGCACTATGTAAATAAAAGTGACTCCCACCTGCAGCAAAAGAATTAAATTCGACGTGAAAAAGACACTTTATGTGTTCATTCCGTTTAAAAGAGCGAATATGCCGTACATTTTGTTTTTCTAAAATGGAACTTACGAATGAGTCAACACGGTTCTATGAAGTTTTTAAATGTCGCAAACCGCCAACGTGTCTATAATAACAAGGCAGTTTGATTGTTTCTTAGTGACTTGACTATATCTAGTTAGTAGTAGTAGTACAAAAAATATCAGAAAAGCCGACGCAGAATCCAACGGGTACAAGAACTATGTATGTTTAATATATTATTAGCAAACTCGGGCATTTACAATTCACCGATTCCCTAAACAGATTAAAATAGCAATGGCTCTGGCTAGTACTTTCCAACGAGATTAGTTGCATGTATCCGTTTGTACCTTTGCTAAATTTTGGCGCAATCAGCCACTAAAATACACATTATTTCTATATAATATTTCATAGCAATTACAATTTTGTAAAATGGTTTCTTATATTTCACGATAGTTATAATCGTAGATTCAGGCTCATATTTATATCGTAGTTTCATCATCGGACGTCGAGGCAGAATACGAAATTCCACCCGTATCACCGTCGTACCAGAACAGAGTGTGCAGGCAGTTTTTTCCGCGTACCACCGCTATGTGGAACCAACAGTCCGCCAATGTATTTCCGAACCAATTCGACTTAGGCTGCTTCAACAAAAGAGCGTGAACATTCTTAAAAGGCAATATAAGTATCTACGATCGGTATTATTAACATCAGATGACCATCCTGCCCGCTTTAATAAAATAACCTTACAAACGAATCATATATAGAGTCATAATTTACGTATCACCAAATAAACGTACGTGTACTATATTTATGTTTTATGATCTAACATTCGTTGTTGAAAGTAGATGTTCAATACAACTCGTGTATATGCGATAATTTTAGAGCCGGAAATCTCTATACATAAATGAATTATTGACTGAAGTTTGCATTTAGCATTGGTGGAATATTAGATAAGTGGAAATTAGACGACTAAACGAAAAACAAAAGCATTTACTTAATCATAAAGCGAAATAATAAAACAATGAAAAGCGCTGTATAGTGTGTCACGTAAATTATATAACGTTAAATAACTATTTATATAAGCTACAGAAAGAAAAGGAATATTCGTTATATTTCACATTTGAAATAACGATTACGACTCGAAAATTATATTGAGTTTATTCTTATTTCACTGGTAATTTCTAAATAAATACGATATGAATCTATCAGTGATTTTACATATGAAGCTGTTAGCGACAGTGCAAGTTATCCAATTTGGAGTTACCTCGCGACACATAATTAACTGGAGGTCGGCGAAACAGTCATGAATAACTAAAGCCTATCTGACACCTCGTAAAACACCTGTAAAAATGTTTAAATCTCTCTTTACTCCCCGAGTCTAGTGTTCTCTTTTCAAATTCAGTGCATTTTTAAAGACGGCTACATCACATCAATCAACGATGCGCTCCCGACCCATTTTGTTGGACGAAAGGTGGAATGAACTGAGTTTCATATGTATTTGAATCCAAAAATGTTCAGAAGAATGTCTTCAATTTGCTATATTTTTATTACAGTTGGATGTTTTAGAAATTTTAAAGACTCATATTTTATTTCGCATATTATTTCTTTCTTGCCTAAGAACTTACAACGTTCCATATTTATATGACTCTTCGATGTTATTGCAAGCTTCCAACTTTGCATTTTATTTTTAAAGATGTATCAAAGCTGGAATGAGCATGAAATTATGCTCAAAGAGCTTATTCTGGACATTAGGCGCATATCCAATGCGTGCCTATATATTCGATATACACTTCTAGATGCTTTTACGTTTAAAATATGTATATTTTCAGGTGGAATTTTCAAGACTGATTGAATTTTCATTGCAAAACGAAATCGTCGATAGCTGCCGTCCGGTGCGCGTATTTTTATAGAAAATCTGTTACGATTTGAAGATATTCAAGAATGAATATTATATCATAAGCTAAAGTTTTCTAATAGTATTTAAAAATAATCTTTAACATCCATTTTAGATGATTGACTTCTAAATGTAATCTCATCTCTAATGTAAGATGTATGTAGATTATCGTAATTTTTTAATTATATATACTCGTACATATATAATGTATATGTTGTAAGCGCTATTGGCTTATTGGCTTGACGCACGACTCAAGCCTGAGGGTCCTGGGGTTCGTGCCCCGGATGTGTACCAATGGATCGTCCCGTGTGAGCATACAATTGTATACAATAAAGGAAAACGTCGTAACATCGGCGGCACTTTACTTTCGCATGAAAAAAAGGACCAATGTCAAGCATAAAATCATAAAAAAATCAGTGGCGCTACAACGTTTTTAGGTCTAGGCCTCAAATTTCTTTATCTGTTTCATGATCATTTGTCTAATAGGCATGTAGGTGATCAGCCTCCTGTGACGGACACACCGTGCCGTCGTCTTTTTGGTCTAAGGCAAGCCGGTATCCTCACGATGTTTTCCTTCACCGTTCGAGCGAATGTTAAATGCACACATAGATAGTCCAGTGGTGCCCAGCCGGGAATCGAACCCACGACCTTAGGGATGTGAGTCGCACGCTGATGCCACTAGGCCAACACTGCTCATATGCTCATGTTCCAAATTAAGTCCCGTGAAAACTTAGGAATCGTTTAGGTACATGAGAAATCTAAGCTCCCCAAAACCCTAGCAATCCGTGCCTATAATGTAAATATTCCCAGGGCAGTCCGAGTACGGAAATCCACCCTGTTGTGTAAATAATTAATTCGCTTTACACACAAGCACGTAAGTTGTAGCGAACTCATTGAAAATTTAAAGCAGAAAACACGATACGGGTCGGAGGTGTTCTCAACTGTTATGAGCAATATTTGTTTTCCACGATCCCCGTGCGGCTATGTAATGTTACGTTCTGTTTGGGCCTTTTTGCCATAACGTTTTACGTATACGTTTACGAGGGTTTCGCAAGAGAGGTCGTGCAATAAGAGTGCAGTAATGTGGTAATTGGAACATTTGAACTGGAGTGAAATTTTATTAAATTTAACAATTGCAACATTTAGAATTCTAATTTATCTTACAATACTAAACTTCTTTGAATAGGCTGTTAAGCTCATACAATTATTAGCACTAATAATTATACTACTTATATATTTTGATAACAGCAATGACTTAAGCCTTATTTTCTTTATGCTTAAAGCTTTTATTTAGATTTTAATTTTGTTTTTTTATTTGCTACGATTTAAGTTTTTGAATATTTTATTTTGCAATTTATGTTTTCCAATATTATGTGTGCAATATATATCGTATTTTTAAGCACGCATATTGTTTTCAGATCTAACATATAAATAAATACGTAAAAAACCTACCATTTAGTTTATCGTATAGCTTTATTGTGTTTGTGTGAGTAGGAACTGAAAATTTATCACCAATTTATGACCCCATTAGGGCTTCAAACATCAAACAGACATTACGTATATATTATAACCTTTAATTTCATACTTAATTTAACTAATAACGGAGTTATTGTCACCAGTATGGCTGAGCTATGCTAGTCTTTTTACTTACACAGCGCCACCTGTTGCGCAAACACTTAACTAAAAAAACAAATATGTTTCAGCAGGTTGGGTAATTCTCTTAGCATGCAAGTGTCTTGCTTCGCCTAGGTTTTAACAAGGTTTGACTTCACTGGGGATCAACTTTTTGACGTTATTGTGAGACGATAAGTGACCTCTATATATAATCTACGTATAGTTTTTATAATACACTAAACATATTGGTAAAGAAGTTGATACATTTCAACTAGATGGCGTTGTTATCACACACACTGAATCCCGATAACTAAGCCTTCGATTATATTAAGGTAATGCCAGTTTCACATGAAATTTTAAAATTAGAATTGCACGTTTGTCTATAATCTATTAATCCCGTTTATACAGATTCCTATTTGCAAGTTATTAATAATTGTATTAGCTATTGTAAGCGGGAAATGAGATTAGAACTCCAACATTTGATAAATAAAACCACTCAATAAGTCAACAACAATAATATAATGAAAAACACATTAATAAAAATTATTTAAAGTAACATTTTATATTACTTTAGGGAGTTTTTAACTGGGAGTAGGGTTAGTAATTGAATTACGTTACGTATACTTGCAATTATCTCAATGTCACATATAATCTTGATTTTTCGACAATACTCTCTTTGACACACTCTAAGCCTGCAATTATTAAATAACTAAATAAGTAAAAATAAAATAAGAAGTCTTTACACAAGTTTTTTACTTCTTTAAACACACTTCAAAGAATCCCGAAGGTTTACAATAAAGGTGTATCTTTTTATTGTGTGACCTAACTTTGATCATGGAATTACTGTCACTGCATAATGTACAGTATCCAAAAGTTCCACATTATTTATACAATTAATTAACCAATATTTAGTCACATGTCGTACGTCACCTACCAATTTTCGTTTTAATTTTAACATTTTCTTAAATTCTATTTCTTCATCATTGTGAACTACGTAATCAACATCCATGTGTTTTATATTCTTGATTACAGTCCCGCCATAGGCAATCCAATGGCGTTCAAAATTGTTTCTCTCATCCTCGGGAAAACTTATAAAATCTGGATAGAACCCAAGTTTTTTGCCTTGAAAAACATCTGGTAATGGATCATCAGGGAAATCATCTTCGATTTTGCAAATAAACTCATCAATTGTCTTATTGGGGTTGCTATCTAAATCTTTGGAATCATCCTTTGAAGATTTGTCTATTTTTTTCTTTTTAACACTCTCATCGATTGTAGAATTAATTTGACTGTCAATTGAAGAATTTGATTCTTCCAAAGCACATTTTCTCTTTTTCTTTTTATGAAAACTGTCATCTTTAATAGACGTCTCTGTATCACTGTCATTTTCGGATTTCACAGAAATGCTATTCTTGCGTTTCCGTGTAAAACTTTCATTCAGAGATTTTGGTTCTTTTGGTGATTTTTTAATATCTTTCTGTATAAATGAATCTAGATTACCCGTTTTTGTAGGACTTTTATGTGATTTTGGAGATATTTTAGGTTCTTCCTTCATTCCTATAGGGTTTTTCTTTTGCTTTTTTGTGGGAGGTTCAGTTGCAGATGCGGTAGCTGCTAATTTATTAAGGAGCGAGACATCCGTTTTTTCTTTTGAAGTTTTGAATAAATGTTTCAGTTCCTCCAAGTTGGTTGCAGTTTCCCAATCTTTATCATTTCTAATTCTAGTGACTCGTGGAAATCTGACAGAAATACCATCAGCAGTATGGAGATTTGCTTTTGTGAGTTCCGTTCCTGAAAATACCAATATATACTATGTGTATAACATGAGATTTGAAAAATGGTTTATATCTAAAATTTTGGCCACCACCATACTTTATCAACATGTAAAGTTAGATATTATGATTAAGGTATTTCAACTCAAGATTAATCAAAAAGTTACTTAAAATATTGATTCATCAGTCATCCAAATGATTAGAATGTAATCAAATAAGACCTGTAAAAATAATAACCTGTGATTTCCCAAACGGGTTGTTTCGTCGGATCCAGTGCTACAAAATCGGGAACCATTCCCTTATTACAATCCAGCCAATTAGGTACTTTGTTATAGTCTTGAGATATTTTCATCATTAAAGGTGCTAATTCTTTTTGTAACCGCTCTAGGGTATTATCATCATGTCCAGTATGCACTTTGGTCACAGTTACCCACTTATTTCTTCGCCTGTCATGGCAGCCCATAAGAAATACAGACATCATACCACCTTTCTTTCCAGTTCCTGTAAATATAATTAACTTGTGTTATAATTATAAACAAATAAATTTTTTTTTAAATATATGTCTAATAATCTTATAGTTTAAAATTTTATATTCCATATTAAACTCAATATAATATATATTTGTACTATACATTTATTGTATTATTGTAGATACATTAGCAAAACAAACATCAAAACAATATTTATATTATAATATTTGTTGACAAATGAACATGACCATTGACCACTGATATAAAATTATGTCCATTGCTAAACTGTACTTCAAATATATGCTTACCAAACCATGCTCCCAAAACCAACAAATCAGCAGTGTCTGCCATGGCACCATCAAATAAATAATCTTTTTTTACTTTAAGCCAATGTCTCTTGCCTGGCTCATATGTAGATTCTAGATCTTTCAATACAAGACCTTCTAGTCCTAATTGGAGAACCTGAAATTGTAAAAGAAAAAATCATTTGACTATAGTAGAAAAATGAAAACATTACGCCAAAGTGAGATGAATCTTTAAGGCCAGAAAAATTTAGTTTTATTTACTACTAAGATATTTATTCTGTAAAAATGAAGTCTAGTCCTAAGTAAAATGCTAAGCAAAATGTTCCATATGATTATAAAGTAAAATAATCATTTACGGCGAAATGAATAGGCAGCAGAGCAACAAGTATAAAATAAAATCTATTTACCTCTGCAATCATTGTAGCTAAATCAGCAGGTTTCCTGATCAGCTGCTGTTCAGAAAACATTATATGATTTTTAACTTCTACCATATTGTCATGTAAAATTTGTCTTCTCCTTCTAATGGGCATATCCATCAGAACTTCACCATTGTAATATAAACAGTCAAATATGTATAAGCATACTTGGGCATCTTTAAACTCTGATTGTTTATGGACACCTAAAGTACCAAATGGTAATGGTTTTCCTGTTTTCACATCTATCATTAAAACTTCCGCATCCAAAATCATATCTTCTCCTTTTGGAAATGCTTGTGGTAAATAGTCTTTAAAATGACTTACTTTATGTGGCATTACTGGTTTTAGAGCTCGAGAAAAATATTTAAACTCCTTACCTTTTTTATGAACTTGGACACGCTCACCATCATACTTTATTTCAGAAAACATACCATTTGGACACTTTTTCATTGCCATTTCAATTGATTTACAGGCCTCTGCTAACATTGGCAGTATGGGAGTCATAAGACTTAAATTAGCATGAACAGATTTCTGAGAAGCATCCTTATGTTTAACCATGTTTGTTTTAAGAACTTTATCTATGACTAAATCTAAATCCCGTGATGTTTGAAATACTTTGTAGGCATCAGGGTGCACACCTTCTAATATATGTTTTGGTCCAGCATTTATTCTCAAATCTCCTTTAATCAATCTTACTAACATTTTAATGTCGTTTAAGGTGCACTTCTTAACAATTTTTTTAAATTGATATATCTGTTCTTCCTCCTTTGTGAGTTTTGATAAGTCCTCTAAAAAGTTTTCAATGTCATGTATTGTTAAAGTGCTTTCTGATGCAGGATTTATGGCCTTTGACTTTGAAAAAAAGTGTTGAATTGTGTCTGCAACATCACCTTGTTCTAAATGAGTTAGCATATCATCATGATCAATAATAAAAATTCTAGAAAATAGTTTAACTAGCTGTTTACTCTTCAAGTTATACACTCGTTTGGACACCTGTGGTAATAACATTTTACACCATAACACCAGGTCACCTTCAAATTTATCAGTACATCCTTTGGTAAAGAAGGAATTCACAGCTGCTGTTTTATCTGTATATGCATCTACTCTAGATATTTTTTTACAAAGTGTATGGAAAGTCGAAAATTTGTTATCTTCAGTCAGTATTTCTGACTGATTACTACTACTACTCAATTCCCCAGTTTTGATGTTCTTAGACATAGTGGATTCATTTTTCAATACTTTTGCTATATATTTTCCACTATGCTTGTCTGCATATAATTTTTCCATTTCATTAATTTTTTTTATTATGAATTCTTGATCTTCTTTGCTTAAACTTGCCCAATTTCCTATGTCGTCTATGGAGTCTATGCGTTTTGTGGCTGGACGTTGTTTTAAAAAAACATTCATGAAGCAATCGACATGGTGCCATGATTTCATTTGCTGATTCTCTCCATATGGACTTGGCACTACTTTAGCGATCCGGATTTCGCCACTTGGACAGTTACCTTTACATCCTTTGCATGACGCTCTGCCAACTTTCGCGCGATCTACGTAATATGGTGTAAAATCCGTCATAATTACTTTTTAATTTAATAAAAACAATTATAAAATATTAAAAAACGAAGTAATGTTAAGTTGTAGATAAACCTATATTAGAAGTTTTATCATAAGCCGATGTTGAGTACTAGATACTGAAAACTAAAACTCAAATTTTATTATTACAAATTAAACATTTTATGTTAATACTTAATTATTTAAAACTCTCAAGAAACAACAATAACAAACTTTAGAATTAGAACAGTCAAATGTCAATAGTAACCATTAGTCTGAAGAATACAGATAACTAATCTGTTGGTAATTCCACAGACTAGATAGACCTATATCGATCAGTACAAGGCGCATGCGTGCAAATCGAAATATAATAGTGTTGTTAAGACCATGGCAATAGTATGTCGATAAAAATTAGGAACTCAACGTTACTTTTATTTAATAGAAATATTAATCTCTATTGTTATTTTCAGCTTCCTCCTGCCATCAAGAATTTAACAGTGACGGAACGAAGCATGGTACGCTAACTTCACCTCACTATCCTCTTGCATATCCTTCGAATACCCACTGCCATTATGAGTTTTTTGGAAGGGGAAAAGAACGAATTAGGCTGATATTTCAAGATTTCTTTTTGTACAAACCGACGGACGGCTCACTTGAGTAAGTATACATTATCTTTTACTCTATTGTAACACAGTAATTTAGAAGTTCACGTAAACTTTATTCATGTAACATAGGGTTAACTACTGATATAATTTTTAACCATTAATAGTTATATAAATCAAATTAAGTGGATTTTCTCCATTTCCAGATGTTCCAATATTGATTCCCTTCAAGCTTTTATTAACGTTGACGGGAGATTAGAAAACGTAGCAACTTTCTGCGGTGTGGATCTCCCAAAACCCATCATGTCAAATGGCCCTAAACTCATGCTGGAATTCCGAGGAACACAATCATCAAGACACGCTAGAGGATTTAAAATTTCATATTCATTTGTTGAAAGTATGACCTTTTTTTAGTAATATTTTTAAAACACTTAATCAAAGATCACTAAGATCAGGCGTACCTAATTCTTTATATATGCTAACTTAGAAATTTATTGACATTATATTCTTCTTTCAGATTTTGGGATATCAACAGGAAGACAACTTAAAGAATTTCCGTGTGCTTTTGTGTATAACAGCACAGAAGCGCGAAATGGAACCTTCGCATCTCCTAACTCTCCTGGCCCATACCCTAGGGATACAGAATGTTCTTATTTCTTTCATGGTGGACAAACTGAAAAAGTGCACCTTCACTTTACTCATTTTGATATAGAAGGCGTATCACCGTAAGTATATTACATAACAATTGTTAAATTTGTTATCTTTCATTATTTTTTTTATTTTTGAAGTTATACTTCTTTAGGCGCGTTATGAAAAATTTATGAGAGTGAAATTTTACGATGCGCGCGCACCGTGACACAAATTTAGGAGTGTGATTATAGCGTGCGCGAGCGAGATAGGAATAAGACAATCTACAAGTAAAAAGAAATAGAATATGCGTGAAGTTCGTATGCCAAGAATTTTGAATGACCATAATGACATTTGTCATTTACCTTTTAAACAAATAAAGGAGTTTTCATTATTTTTTTGAAAGAAATTTAGCAATGCTTTCTGAATTATATATAATCAGAAGTGATTTAAATTGTATATTTAAACCAATACAAATTAATATTTGTGAAAAAACTGTGCTCATCAACCTTCCTAATTGCTTCATTACAATTGAGGTTAACTATCAGTTTGTATTATTATTATCGAGTAATGTTTTGATTAAAAAAATTACCACATTGTTTAATCAAAACATGTAATTTTTCTCTAGCAAATATAAGGACAAGAGACAAAAAACAATTGATGAATCAGTGTAAGTGCACTAAATTGAATACAAAAAAAGAGTTGTCATCTTATCGCTGTGAAACATCAAAAACTGGAGGTGGAACAATACCAAACTATTTTTAATAATGCCAAAGAAGTATAACTTCTTACGCGCGTACATAAGTACACGCACCCTTTTTTTTTTCATTGTTTTTATTTTGTGTGTTTCTGTGTGTGTGTGTGTGTTTTGTTACTAATAAATGTTATGGTCTATGTCTAATCTTGATAAGAAAATGACAGTCCCACATTTGAGAACCTACACTGATCATAGTTCTCATTGATTATATATTTTATTTTCTCCTTAAACAAAACATAACCCTAACCAACTATACTAAAAAAATATGTAATCAGACAACTGAGGTTGTATGCTTATAGACGAAATCTATAAATAAAATTTGTCCTTTGCCGTATAAGTGAACTCAATATTATATTAATTAATAACCTTCTTTCAGGTGTGAAGCTGAATCAGCAAGTGATTACGTAGAATTTTCTAATTACATGACTGAAGACAATAGATATGGTAGATACTGTGGGCAGCAAAAGGAATTTCACGTAGAATCTGAACGAAACTTTTTCAAAGTAACATTTCGATCAAATGATCGATTAGATGGCACTGGGTTTAAAGCTATTTATCAGTTTTTAGAAGCATCTGACGAGTATCAAGCACCAATATCTGATTACGCATCGTCACTTTTCCGTTAGTATTTATTTATTTGCGTGTTAACTGTGTGTGTTGTGGCTTCAGATTTTTGCGTACAGATACTCGCAAACGGCAAACATTTTTGAGACTAAGATTGATGCGCTGGTATTGTTACAATGTTAATTATACAAGCAAGTTTTAATCGCGCTCATATAAAATATCTTAGTAAATACGGATTTTAAACGCAAGCAGCAATTACCCTGAAACGCACAATTGTTACGACCACGAGGTTACACTGGTCGAGAACCGTCCCTTTAGATTGGAGGAAAACAATACCTTACCAAACTTATTAGTTGCCTCCGTAATTTAAATATTACAATATAGTACAGATACCGGCAAATATCTTGAACAAATGTTCTTGCCTGCGCAGAAGTGATTTTTAGGTATCACTGGGAGATGGGGTGGCGGGCGGTGGTGCGTGGCGGCGGGAGAGTGACGTGACGATCGCGTGATTGGTAAATCAGTTGACGTTTGTGTCCCAGGATGCAAATTTTCCTCCACTCCCTTGTTTAATGTTTGCCGGTATCTGTATAGTGTAATAACGTTTCAAAATGTTTAATCTTTCATCTTTTATTTTCAGCGCTGCGGTTGTGGTTGATACTGCTCGTCTTCGTTTCAGCTTACCTGCATCGGTTTTATCATTAAATAAAGTGATATTAGGTTTATTATAAATAGGTAGTTTAATAATCCTGTACATTTTGTACCATAGTCTGTGCCATATACTTGTAATTTGAAAGTAGGGATTTAAATTTTTCTATTAAGCGAATGGTAAATCTTCCTCTTACCGACTAAAAGCAATACGACACAATAATGTTTTATCCACGCTGGCACTTAATATTAAAAATAAATTATAATGAATTATATTTTGTGGTTTCATTGCTTTAATGGTAAGTGCAAACCAGTAGATATTTTTACTTCATCCATGTGATTAAATCTACCAAATGATTTACACAAAAGCCAACCGATTTCTTTTTTTCTGACTTAGAAATAATTTTAAAAAGATACTAATATAGGCTATCAGCAGGTTACATAAAACTTTACAAAATGACACTAATTGAAAACATGCGTTAGTTGCCATAAACATAATATATGCTCCGGGCTAGTATGGGTTTTTGTCGATATTTTATCGATCTTAATCTAAATTATCTAGCAGTCAGTACTATTTTTTAAATAAGTATAAGATTTAAGTTTAAATAATGTGTGTTTTTTTTTGATAGAGGTGTTGAATAACAGAGGCACATGTCAGGAGTAATGTGAATTGGGGATATAAAAAACGTTGATATAATGTAATCATTAAAAAAAAATATTCCCAATAACAAATATCCTTGTTTACTTAGTTGGTAGTATTTGGCTAAAATATTACTACTATTATTAATTTATAATAAACCTACTAAAACCATTATAATTTACACAACAGTATAGTAGACCGAGGCGAATCGGATCACTTTTTCTTTGAGGTTGAGCAAATCATACTAAAGTGTTATATAATGTTATTTTTATTGATAAAATCGTAAGAAGTAACAATTAGCTATGCAATAAACATTTGGAAACTTAAATCGTACATATATTCTCTTAATTACCTATTAAAAACTAAAAAAAGGAAAATATCCGAATCGCCCCAACTTTCGGGGTGCATCGGATCGTACACAACATACAACCAAATTTTAAAGTATAGTGTTAAATAACTTGGGAATCAGTAAAAAGTTAATAATGAGATCAATTTTCACATATATATGGTCCTTTTTTTCTGTAAGCTCGTGAACGATACTGAAAAAATCTTGGCAGCTTTACGTAAGGTCAACTCTTTGTTCTGGACTTTATTTACAGCCTCTTTCATTTTTTTTTTAGACCATTCTCCGGCATCAGTCTTTCTCTTGTACGTGCGAACCATCTACAATGAAATAAATATGAATCAATAACCTCAAACATGTAATAAATCAGTTTAAAAGTATGATCCAATTCGCCCATGAGGATATGATCCGATTAGCCCCATAATTAAGACTTTTGAAATAAATATTTTAGACGTTAACCTCTAAGATTATACTTAAAAGCGAATTGGTTCTTTAATATAAACACCTTCCTTAATAATATAAACCAATGTAGTTGAATTTTAAGACAAATCCGTCATATGACACAAAGAAATCGTAAGTACGTACCTTAGATGAGCGCCAAATTGCGACACACACAAAAAACCGAGTGGCTGACGAGCGGCATTGCCACTGATCCACAAGCACGATCGAAATACTGCTTATGTCGTGAGGTGCTCAGTAAATGGAGATACACAAAACGCCGGTTGAGTGCGTTCTATGTGAATGTGATATTTAAATTATCAACAGATTTCTTATTTTGATCCGATTCGCCCTGTGATCCGATTCGCCTCGGTCTACCCTATATATGGTATTTCCTTTCATTCGATATTTGACTGTTGAAATAAAATAAATTGAATGAAATTAATGAAATAAAATAAATTGAATGATATGTTACTAGCAATGCCACGCGTAGATATACCAATCTCGTGGTAGTGGAAAGTCTACTAAGTCGGACTATAGATATATTTTTGTTATCATAAAAGTTTTATTTTATTTTATGCAATAGTAAGTAACAGATTGAATTTGAATGACATCTTGTTATTATGTACTTAACTAAATATGTTTTATACTAAAAATTACTTAAAGTAAGTAATTTAGTTATATGAGTATACACACTAACATAATTTTATGGTATTTAAAAAGCTTAAAATATCATTCCTCCGTTTAATAAATCAGTTATTGACAATTAAGGGTATTAAACATAATGTACCTATGAATGACACGAACTGTCTTTTTCATACAAATTTAGTTTTCGACTATCTGCATACACTATATTATACTGTTGAAACATTTTGACTAAGCCCCCTTATCATTGCTCTTAAAATAGCAGTATTTTTATTATAAAGTCTGTGACTCATACATACTGGTACTTGACATGTGTTGACAGTTGACAGCGGTTACTCTTTTGACGGTATACTCTGTGCCGGCTGCAGTTTGCTATAACCTGTAAATGTGAAACAGCGACAACACTGATCAGTGATCACTGTCTGTCTCTACTCTCTAGTAAAACTTTAACTGTTTGTAGGTATTGACGTCGGTTGGATGAGATTTTGTGCGAGAACTTTTTACGATTATATGTATAAAACTTAATAAGTCATACAACAATTTTGTGATATAAAACAAGTGTTATTAACTACAGTGTATTATTGTGTATAAACAGTTTTTGTGATCGCATTCCATACATTTGTGACACGGATTGTGTCTACAGCCTGCAGCAAGTGGACTTGTAGCGTATTTTTCAAAGTAAGTACATATGTTTTTTTTATTACTACACTATTTAATGTTAAAATTATTTCATTTAATAAGCAGTAAGATATGCATATTTGTTTCAAGAGATGAAAGTCCTTCCTGCAGAGCTTTAACTTATTGTAAATTTTTTGAACAATCATAGGATACACTTATATAAAGAGAACCCTTGGATGAACATGTATATATATAATAACTTGCTTACAATCTTCAAATTGCATTTGTTTTATAAATTAGAACGAAGCCTGGAATAGGATTTTCTTTGTCACTGTATGCTTTCTAGCGAACCGCTAGCGGTAATAATTAGTATTTTACTTATAAATAGCTTATTTTCTTACATTATAAGCAATCATACAATCGTATAAAATACAGACAAAATCCTAAAACTGTACTTTCACAAACGAATAAGTTAATCTAATACTGTAATAACATATGAGGCAGTAGCTTTTTTCTAAAACGTAGTGTAAAACATTAAGGAACTGCCGCTCATTAAAGGATGCAAAGATGTGATTAACTGTCAATAGCAATCAGATTGTCTGTGGTTTAATCAGATTTACGTTTTTACCGCATTGGTAAGATCCGAGCTCAAACATTTCCATCTAGTCTAATAGTATCATTCCAAAGGAAAAGTATAGAGCTAACACACATACGTTTTCATACACTCATTGGCCCTATGCCACATTGGATCGACAAAGAAATTGTAATATCATATTATAGGTGACTCCCGTAATTTATCCAATACATACCAATGCTATCTAAATATTACCCTTATCTACGATAAGTAAAAAATAAAGGTATTTCTACCACAGTTAATGGTCTAAGTTTTTCGCTTAAATACATAGACTGAAGACCGCCACGATCAATCAATTATTGACGCTCATTTTTTCACAAACTTGACATTGATCAGAATCATGATTCATGAAATTTAATGAGATACTGAGAATTCACGGATTACTGAAAGAAACTTTATTTTGTTAGATACATTTTTCGATTAATTCAATTTGTACATAAAAATTTAGTAAGGAATATTTTCCCACGTTCATTTTATTAATTGCCTTCTCATTTATAACCGACTAGTTATTGATTTGGTCGCTACAGGTAGCAGTTTTATAGGGAATCGTCATAAATAACGCGATTAAAAAGATATATAAACTCTGTTCAGAAATGTTTTTGTTTCTAAATGTCGCAAATATTTTAATAAAACATTATCTATCCTTGCTCCAAATAAAACACATTATGCATGCAAATAATACGACACTTGTTAAACAATGTGCGTGATTATAAATTCGATGCTGTATTTATTAATTCAGAATGGATCGTTAGATATAAATTTTAATTTTATAACAAATTGTTGCCATGGTCACTCGTTTATTTAACTATTACTTTTTGCACCTTTTAACATTTTCATGCTCAATAAATTTACTAATTATATAATATTTTTACTTTTATTGTATAATTTCATAAATGCCGATAATTGCGCGTAGATGATATTTACATTTAATATGAAGTATTAAACAACTATGTATTCAAAAAAATATAATATTTTTAATTATTATTTATAGTCTGTAAGTAATACAAATACATATATTATACTCACTAAATTGTTATACTGTTTATTACTGGCCCTGAAATCATAAGTATTTTCAAATGTAGCGCATTAATGATATTTGTTTAATGAGAAAATTAAGGTAAAAGGTACAGAAAATAAAACATAGTGTATGTTCTATTAAACGATTGTCTAAATGGAAAAACATACTTTAAAACTTTGAACGAACCATTATTGCCTGTATATTATTGTAAACAACTTTTTTATCAGTTCTTTTAACATTCTAACGTCCTTGTGCTTTCATTTGTTACTCAACTGAAGAATTCCTTCAAAAGAAACTTGTCACATCGATCTTATGCATAGACGAATGCAGGATGACAAATTGGATAATTAGCTTAAAATCACGACTAATGTTGGATATACATATAGATTTTATTACCAGAGATTAAAGTACAGTTTAGCAAGACAAAGAGGTGTACATTCCTTACGTAACAGGTTACAATTATTGTAGTCTTAACTAAGGAGTAGTATTCTTACTTGAACGCAATACAATTTTTTGACTTCAAAATGTAGAATACATTATGTGTGTAAAGTGGTTCATTATGTGTGTGTTCATATGGATGAAAAGAAACTGAAGCTATGCAAACGTCAGCATCCTATTGATTGGTTAATGACGCAAAACAGATATTAGATTGACTATACATTATTTATAGATAGAACGACATGTTTATATGCAGGGATTACAAGGTTTCTTAAGCCAAGCC